CCGGACAGCCTTAGCCTTGCCAAGACTGCCAACAATGGAGCGCATTTGGTTGACAGGGAGCCAACCTCGCTCCTCCTTTCAGGGCCAAACTAAGCAAAAAGAAAGTTTTTGCAAGAATTCTGCGCAATGGAAAAGATGAAATACATTTCGTGCCCCACTCAAAGGACTCGAGGACGGAAAACGGAAGGCAGTGCGTGCTCATTAGATCACCATTGTGCTGCATCCGGATTGTGAATTCTGGATTCCGGTTTCCCGGAGTCACTGGCACTTCACGCCACGCCCCTGCCCCTGCTCATGCCCCTGCCTATCCATGTCTCCACCTCTGAATGTAAATCAATTTGTCGTCGTGTCAACAGCGTAACTAATTTATTTATGAGTTCGCTTTAAACTCTGATTATTCATATGCCAAGCCAGTGGAGTGCCGGGCCAGCCTGCCTTTATCCCCACACCACCCACACCCCACACCGCACCCAATCCTCCTCCTCCTCAATCCTGAGTCCTGTGCCTCGTATGTCCTCTGTTGACTTTCATTAGCTCAAATTACCCAAAAGTACTCGGGTATTGCACGCATAAATCAAACGGAAAATCAAATTCACTTGCAGATGCAGTCCAAGAGACGGCACTCGGCTTGGGGTATATGTCCATAAATGGAGAACGGAACCCTGACAGGAGGACCATCGGATGACCACTACTGTCCCTCCCCCACTTTGTGGCATGGCCACGCCCTGGCCATGTCGATGCCACCGCCTGTGTTTGGTTTACGTGCTTAAATTGGCAATTAGCAGATTAATTGTCACTGCCAATATATGCGTCAATATTTTGTGCAACCGACAGATGCAGTTGCCTCTGCAGTTGCCGTTGTGTTGCGTACCCGCAGAGCCGTACATCCCATCCATCCCATCCATCGCCATCCTGTGCACACGTACACGAACATTGGTTTGCGTTTGCTTTACGGGCCTGTTGTTTACACAATTGTTGCTCTGTTCTGTTGCTGTTTGATTTCACTAACGAGCATTAGCATAAATTGCATCAGTCAGAGCCATCGAGGGGGCCATCGCCATATGGACACTCGATTCGTTTGTGTGTGCATCATTTGGCAGCTGGGCATTGACAGTTTGTTCGGTCTGTCGGTCTGTCGCTCCACTGTCCAGTGTCCAAGGTCCAATGTTCAATGTTCAATGTCCAATGTCCCGTGTCTAGTCCGTCCACTCTCAGAGACTGTCAAAATTCACGTTCGAAACGAACGGATGACTCCGGACATTGTGCAGTCAATCAATTGTAAATTTTTAATGAGTTTTCATTCGGCATTGGCCTGACAGCGACTGGCCAACTGGCCAACTGGCCATCAGAGCCCTGTCCTTTCCCCGCCCTGACTGTGGTCACACTGTCCCTATCCTCTGGACTAAGCAATTTGTTACACTAATTAGCTGCTGCTGCGGTTGCCCGCTAGCTGGCGTTGGACCTGCAACAAATATCACGTATCACGTATACGCCACCACACTGCCTGCTAAGTGATGCAAATGGTTGCGTAAACGAGCTCAACCATGTGATATCCACTATGACAGAGGGTGTTACCCATGTCTAGTTCTAGTACTAGTCCTAGTCCCAGTACTAGTTCTTGTGTCTTGTCCTTGTCTTTCTTTTGCGCCGCAATAATTTCACACAAAATATTTCCGCAACACATCGTCGATGGCAGGTCCTTTCCTGTCCTTCCCCTCATGTCCTGGTGCATGCTGCTGTTGCTCCTACATTTCACTTGACTTCACGTCCTCATCCAGCTGCAACTTATCATTTTATAAGCATTTGTTTTTCTTCTGGTTTCTGTTTTTGTTTCTTCTCGTGTTTGGACGCTGTTGCGGCCTCCCACTGTTCCTCCTCCGCATCGAGCTATACCCTTGCAGAGGTTATTGCGAAGATTGTTTCTGTATATATTCCAACCAGAATCAAGTTCTTTAGGGCCGAAACAAATGGATGGAAAGGGCATCAACATGTTCGGCTCTTTTCTTCTGCTGCGTGCCATCTTGTTTTTCTTTGGCTTGAATGTTTTTTGTGTGTGCAGCATAACAAAATATTTTGTTGCATTTTGTTTGCTCTCAGCCCTGGCCGCTCCCCCCTTGCTTCTTCCTCCCTCGTCTCTCCCCTGTGTGCACTTTATGTGACAGATACTTTAAAATGTGGCAAAGTGGTTTTTGGCAAGCCATCCACAGTCCAAGTCCTCGTCCTAGTCGCATTCGCATTCGCATTCAGTTCTCGAAGTGGTTTCGGGTCACATGCTGTTCAGCTGCTCAGCTGCTCAGCTGCTTTGCTGCTGCCATGTCCATTCTTGAGGGCCATTCCGAATGAAATTAATGCAGAATTATGTGCCACGTAAACTAATTTTTATGCGACGGCCACTTCCGCCACACTCCAACTTCTTCGGCCCACACTTTGCTGCCTCCCCACCCCTCCCCACCACTGCCATGCCATTCTGTCGGCCTACGATTTACGAGGGATCGCACTTGCCCGCAATCCTTTCATAACATTCGGAGAGACCGAGACCGTTTTATTGCCCCGTTTGCTGCCACTTAGGGATGGGGCGAGAAAAAACCAAAAAAAATACCGCGTGCCGCATTAAAATGTTGCCGGGCCATGTTTGCCACCCTCCCCGGATCCTCTGCCTGCAGCTGCCTCTTGTTGTTCGAGCTGAAATTTATATTAGGCCAACAAAGTCGCCCTACGAAGATGCGGATGGGATGGGATGGAATGGCGCTAGTACTACAGACTATAGGGGCACGGCTGCCCTTGGCGTTGGCGCCTGCTCTCAAGTGCTCATAAATTCACGAAAATTTCACAGCCGCCGACGGACCAACAAAATAAAAAGCGACGGCGTGGGAGTGGGAGTGGAGTGGGGCGGCAAAAGCGGCGTCAGCTGTTGCAGGCAGCGTCCTTACATAACCAACGCCACCGACCCAGTCCCCGACCCAATCCCAGTGTCGGGCACACACTCGACTTTGGTTTGGCAACATAAATTGTTAAAGAATTGCCACTTTACAGTCGTAAGGAGCACATAAGCCGGACAAATAAAAACCCTTTGCTGCTTGAACCCTCGAGGTTCACTTTGGCCGGGGGTCGTCACCAGGCTGCAGCGGCAACAGCAGCACCCGCAGCCGCCTGCCATTGCTCTTCGGCCCCGGTCAACCGCACCGCACAAGAGGAGAGCAAGAGCAATCAGTCGCAGACTCCGGATTGGATGTCATAAAAATGTCATCTAGCGAATGGCAGGGAGTGGAAATGGGACTGGCAATGGGACTGGGACTGGGCGCTGTTCTTTGTCATCATTATGGCATCCAATTTGTACTCAATAAAAATGGCAACTCAACTGTGATGTGATGAGTGGGGTCTGGGACTGACTGGCAATTGTTTTCCATCAATGTAACATGTACGAGTCCATGCATCCGACCTGCTTGCCCCCTGCCAATCCATTGAAGGATGCTGCAATTTTCGGCTAACTCTCCTCCCGCTCCAACCGCTCACGACGGTCCCAGCGGACATGTGTGGCAGGCGGACAGCGCCGTTATCTGTGCCCCTGTCCGCATCCGTGGAGGAGGTCCGAGAATGCATGTGAAGTGCCGTGATTTATAAGCGCTTTGCCGGCGATAACAGGTCCGAGGACACGCCCACAGACAAACAATGGAAATGAGAGTGGGAACACATGCAAATCCTCCTCCTGCTGCTTCTCCTTTGATACCCTTCTGTGGCCGACCGTTTCTTTCAATTTTCTTTGTACGGGTTTTGTGGTCGCCTGGCTTTTCCGGCAAATTTTTATCTCAAGTTCTCGGACCCGTTGACAATAAAAATGGCAATAGGAGAGGCAAACCGCACAACATTCGGAGCACAGAGCAGAGCACAGAGCAGAGCACAGCACAGCATAGGCATCTGGGGGCCGGCCCAGGCCCAAGTCCAGGCCCATATCATTAATTTTGCACAAAAGGACGAAATGTCCTTTGCCAAATGCAGTAAGAGAAAGAGAGAGCAAGCAGAGCAACGGAGCGAACGGACCAACAAATAAATAAGGCAAGCAGCCGGACTTTGTTGTGCATTGGCAGCTCTGCGGTTGGGATTGCTCTCCGTCTAAATGGAACCAGGAGATGGGGATGGGATGGCACGGGGCTGGGGTTGGGGATGGGGCTGAGGCTGAGGTCAGATGTGGCTGCAACACGTTCGACATTTTGTGGGTCTCACGCTGCGTTGGGCATTGCCAAATTGAAATTGTTTTACGGCAGCAACCCCCGCGCCCCGCCCAAGACCATATCCTGAGATGGAAAGACATTCAAAGCAAAAGAAAATGAGACCGAGCAAATGAGAAATACGCTATGTATACTCGTATGAATATATCTCTAATAAACAAGAGGTGGAGCAGCAGACAATTCGGCAGGGGGAATTTATAATATTTCTATGCCTGGAGCAGATTTGAACTTCGCGCATTTACATTAGCATTCAAATTACATTTCAAATGTAGTTCGATGAACTTCCGCTGACGCCAAGAGGGCGCCACCGCGGTGGTCAGAGAAGGAGCTGCCAGACTGCTGGAAGTAGTTGTGAAATGCTGGCGCAATATTCGGTTGAATTTAAATTTGTACACATATTTAAATTATATTTTATTTTATTTGATTTAATAACATGTTTGACAATGTCTGATACTTAAATACACCGTGTGGCCAATGAGGCGCAACGCGAAGACGATGGCAAGACGCAAACAGGAGAAGTCCGACCATGGTCACAGGAATATGGAGGATCTAGACGGAGTACAAGTGCAAGTCGAGGACTACATATACATAGACGTGAGTAACCGCTCCACACTAAAATTCTCTAAAATCCTTCTCTATATCCTTTGTTCCCTAAAGCTGCACACGGGTCCCACTCTTCCTATCATGCTGCAAGCCCACCTAACGCCACTTGATTATTGCTATTGCATTTGTGAATGTTTGTGTTGATTATTGCGATTAGTATACTCGTACATTGTATTGGGTTTATATGTGCAGTAATTAAAGCTCTTCAACAGTACATGTTTAGCTGTCGAAAAAAATAGTGAAAGATGAGCAGCACGAGAAAGGAGCTGGTCACGGGCAGACCCGCCGCTTTGATCCACCCGAGGATGTTGTAGTCGTCCGGATAGAACTCGAACTGCTCGGTGGGAATCTCGCCGCAGTTGGAGATGACCACCGGCTGCACGGGAAAGTCATCCGTGTCCGTTTTTACCTGATCGGAAAAGAAACATTTATTAGTAGGAGTAGCAGATTCAAGGGTTCGTTACTCACATCTTCGATGGCATAGATTGTGTCCATGCCCTCGAGAACCTTGCCGAAGACCGTGTGCTTCCCGTCCAGCCACTTGGCGCCGACTGTCGTCACATAGAACTGGCATCCGTTGGTGTCCGGTCCCCGGTTTGCCATGCCCAAATAGCCTGGACGGTTATGCTCCACTGCCAGAGCCTTGTCCTCATCCTCGAAATAGTCGCCGTAGATGCTGATGGAGCCGGTGCCGTCACCGCTTATAATGTCGCCGCCCTGCACCAGGAATCGGTCCACCACCCTGTGGAAGCGGGCACCCACGTAGCTGGTGCCGTTGATGCCGCGCAGGCAGATATGCCGGAAGTTGGCCACCGCCTTGGGCGCCAGCTTCCCAAACAGCCCGAAGGTGATGCGGCCAATGGGCTGCTTATTGTGCTTCACGTCCATGAAGATCCTCGAGGTGACCGTGAAGCTAAGACCACTGGCGGCGGCCAGTAGGCCACAGCAGTGGAGTGCCACATGGATAATCTTCATAGCCAAGAACTGGAGTGGACTGGGCTGGGCTGGACTGACTCGGACCAGACACGCTGATGAAATAGATAAAACTGAAACAGAAACTACAACTGTGACTGCTTCCAGACTGGGTGTGGAAATTACAGAATGAATTACAGAATTGTGGGTCGCGGGTACCGCGAGGAAGCCGCACAAGTTTCAGGTTAAGTGCAACCCCCAGGTGGGATGGGGGATGGGGCGTGAATCGATTTGGTTTTGTTTGGCGTGGATGGATGGGCATAGACAGAGCAGACAATCAAAAGTGGGGGAGTGGTTTGAATTCATCATATGACTTGGTCTTTAATATTGTAAAAATGGGCTCTTAAAGCTACGATAGTTAGGGTCTCGATACTTGGGGCGGGGCGTACAAAATTGAAAGCGATCGATCGATCTCTCGATAAGTACAAAGTATCAATATCATATCTTGTCCACTACTTAAACCTGTCTCTCTCCTGGCCTATATAGTACAACGTTAAGACTAAACAACTTAAGGATACGACCTACATCTACGGACATATACCAGATACATATATATATATATACAGAGGAGCAGCTATAATAAACAAAGTATATGGGGTGATTGGAAGGGAGCGGGGTGAACGGTGTGAGCGGGGTGTGCAGGCAGGAGGCCTGACCTGGCTACAGTCTTCAGTGGCTTCAATGGGGACAGCACATTGGCAGCGGCAGCAGCAGCAGCCTCCTATATTGAAAATATCGCAGATTATGTGTAACTGTGTGTGTGTGTGTGTGCTTGAGATCTACACAACTGAATCTTCCTGGGAAGATTCGGGCAAGTCCTACATGCGCTTATTTTGCGGATGCACGTACTTGCAGGACTTGCCCATTTTGCAGTGCCCCCGCATGAACTGCTTGCAGACGCCCGTGTTGCCGCCTCGATTGGAGCCAGATCCCGCTGTGCGCCAATTGCCACCGGAATTTTCCTGGAAGTTGTTCCCACCGCTACGCCAGTTGCCGCCGCCGCCTCCATTGTTCTTATTTCGATTATTGTTGTTATTCCGTGGTCCACCGCCACCGTTGCTCATCGGGCCCAGTCCAGGGCCATTACCCATGGGTCCATTCGGACTGTTGTTCATCATGGGTCCGATTGGGCCGTTGGGACTGTTGTGCATCATGGGTCCCATGCCTGGGCCGGGGCCAGGTCCAAGTCCAGGTCCAGGTCCGTTCATCATCATCGGATTGAATCCCTGGTTAAACGGTGGGGGAGGCCCTGTTGCATAGGGCGGCCCTCCTGGACTGCCAAACTGATTTCCCATATAGTTCTGGGGCGGCATGCCTCCCATGTTCATATCCATGCCGACCACAGGACCGGTGGGCCCCATCTGGTTCTGCCAGATTGGGGGGACAATTGGTCCGGGCACTGGGCCAGGGCCAGGGCCGGGTCCTTGCATCGCCATCTGTTGGGTGGGGGGCATATTTCCTCCGTTTGGCATAAAGTTGTTGGCGAACGGCTGGAAGGGATTGTTGGTCATCATGTTGGGTGGGCCGCCATGACCCGGGCCCATCATGTTGTTTATGCTACTGTCATTGTAGGAAATGTCAGGGCCGCCGGGGTTGGCACCAACGCCGCCGATGCCGCCGATGCCACTGGAACCATAGCCTTTGGGCTCGGGCCAGGTGAGGTCGCTGTAGTCGTTGACAGCATCGGGGTTGCCGGTGAGGTCATCCATGGGGATGACGGGAATGTCGTGGGCAAAGTGGGGCTCCAGCTCCGCCTCGGCAGCGCTGTCCGGAATCATGTCCGTCGAGAAGTAGAGCGCACGCAGCGTTGTCGCCTCGCGCTCGGCCTGCACCTGGCGCTGCTTGGAGAGGTTGCCATTGGGGTGGTCGGGCACGTTGTCCACCTCAATGAGGGGGCGCCACTCCATCTGCGGCTGCATCGAGTCATCGAAGCCTCGCCGGGAAATGTTCATGGCGTCGCGCTCGCTGTACCGCTCCATGTTCTTCATCTCGGTGAACGTCTGCTTGGTCACGTTCACCCGCTCGGATAGATCCACCTCGAAGAAGCGGATCTGGGTGAGCTTGTCCTCCGGCTGCCAAGTGAGCTTCTTCTTGGGGCCCTTGCGGCGGTGCAGCATCAGCACCCCGGGTGGGCCATCAGGTCCGCATCCTGGTCCCGGCTTCCTCGGCTCCTCGGGCACATCTTCGGCGCCATCAGAGCTGGTGCCAGCGTCGGCGCTCTCGCCAGCCGCCTTCTCCTTCTGCACCTTCTGCTCAATGTCCTCCTTAACCCGCTTCAATGGTATGTCATCGTCATCCGCATCGGCTGACTCATTGGGCGAACTCGAGCGACCCTCATCGTTCTCCTTGGTGCTGTCGTCTGACTTTTCGTCTCCCTTCGACTCGTCCAGCGTGTCCTGATAGAACTTCAGCGGAGCCAATGGCGCATCCTTGTCCGTGGGCGAGTTGGCCGACTGTGTCCGCTTGCGCTTCACCACCTTTTTGGGTTCGATGGACGCTGCCAGGGCATCCGAGAAGAGATTCGTCTCCACCAGCGTTGAAACTGCAAGCAAAAAGTCGAAAAAGATGATTAGTAAAATTCAACAGAAAGGGGGAATGGGAATGGGTTACAAGTTATGGTATGGTATGGTATGGTATGGTATGGTATGGTAATTCTGTAGATCTGTACAACTGGTGGCTTTTGCTTTCCTACAAACCCTATGGGATACCCTCCTATAAAATAACGAATTCCATGCAATGATCACAGACGTGCGGTCTGAAATGACGCATTGGCACAATGCTTGTGTGTGTGTGTGTTCATATGTGTGAGCAGACAGACTGGCAGGCAGGCAAGCTCCTTATCTATCAAATCGACAGGGGAAACAGAGCCAAAGCCAAAACCCCTACCCAGGTGACACACTACAGTGATCGGTGGTTGGACAGTGGCAAGCGTCTTCTCAGTTCTCAGATATTGGTAGCACCAGGGAAACGGGATTCACACCCGACACACACACACACTCTCACTCGCACTTGCATCAATTGCTGATGATCATGCAAGATCAGAGCCCACGACAGACAGCCAGCCACAGCCTAGCCTGGTGGCACAGTCTGTGTGATCGATCTGACGAGTGTGCGCTTCTCTGGCTACCAAAACATCAAGAACCGCCAGCTCAAGTTAACATTGTCTTGGGTTTTGTTTTCGTTCAATGTATTTTTTATTCAATAGAAAAAGTATATTTTTCTAATGGAAAATCGTTTTTATTTGTATGTGGCTGGCAAGTGAATCTACATACCTTAAAAGCTTAACCTAAAGCAGTAACGCGTACGTTTAAAAAAGATTTTATATACTTAACACCAGGCAGACACTGGACACCAGGCCCCTGTCTTTCGTCTTCTGCTGATGCGCATGCGCAGTGACGCCGCAGCAGCGACATCGCCGCTGTCGTCCGGCCAGGGCATCCATCAATCCAACATACACTTTCTTCTAATATTCATATTATTCCAACTCTGGCGATCAGTCGCTCAGCCACAAGACATGAGACATGAGACTCCAAAGGAAACGATTATATAGGCCAATTGATTGTGCAATTGAAATGCAAGGCCCCAATTTTTTTTTCTGCTTCTATCTTCTGTTTTAGTCCAATTCTGTCGTGAAATTGCACCCCACCCCAGCTAAAATTAAACACCTTCAGTGGGGAGTAGATCAACAGAAAATACAGAAAAGGCGATTTTCTGATAGCCGAATTGGCATAAAAAAAAATGTAACAAAAACCACCAATGTACAACGACCTGTGAATAAAAGCTAAGAGAAAAAGGCATTAGTAAGGAAGTTCGGAATGGGAGATGCTTACTCTTTTTGGGAGCAATTAGCTTGGCTGCTCCTGGTCGCTCCACGTGGCCGGTTACATTGCTCATGTCGATCTTTGGCTTCTTCTCGGTCGGCGAGTCCCGGGGCGGTGGCGAGGGTCTCTTCACGGTGGGGGACAGCAGGGCTGATGGCGTCGGAACGGCTGATGTGGGTTTCTTCAGTCCCTTGCGTGAGGGAGGAGGCGGCGCCTCTTCTGTAAGTCCGTGCGATCGGAATTTGGACTGATACGTCTTCACGGTGGCCGCCTTATCAGTGTCGCGCCTGATTTCTATGGATATCGAGGCCTTTCGGGACATGATGGGTATCGATCTTGGCTTTTGAGGCTCGCTCTCGGCTTTTTCCTTCTTGTCTACAGCATTCGAGGCCGGTGAATGGGCCGGGGATAGAGTTGACGCTGGTGGGGGCATCAGCTTATTGTCTTTCTCTTGCTTCGTTGCCGTCGACGAGGCCTTATCCTTCTCCTTGTCGCGACTACGATCTTTGGACGAGCTCGAGCTCGAGGAGGAGGAACTCGACGACGACGACGATGAAGAGGACTTTGACGACGACTTGTGCTTATTCGATGAGGACGACGAGGATGAACCACTACGCTCCTTATCTTTACTGGAGCTAGAACCAGAGCTTGAGCGAGACTTATCCTTGTCACGGTGTTTGTCGCTAGAACTCGAACTGCGATGAGACGAATAGGACGACGAGCTTTTTGAGGAGCTCTTCGATGATGATGAGGAGGACGACGACGACTTATGGCTAGATGAGGACGACCTGTGACTGGACGAAGATTTTCTATCCTTCTCACGATCTTTCTCAGACCGTTTACTCTTGTCTCGGGCGCTCTTATGCTTCTTATTATCAACCTCATCCCCGGATTTAACCTCTGCTGAACAACTATCATCTAAACTTGATTTTTTCGAACTCTGGAGACTGGCACTTGTCTCAGGACTTTTGCTGCTCTTAACACCAGCCTCAGATGGCTGCGTGGAACCATCATCGTCAACATTATTCATATCATCTGTGTCCAAATGCTCGACTGACTTCCATTTTATGGTTATGCTGTTGTGATTGTTGCTATTTTGGGCCGAGGCAATGGTGTAGTTCATGGTCACAGGCGTTCCCGCACTATCCGTGCTGTCCGACGACGAGGCAGAGTCCGCCGTACCAGTGGCCGGATCCGTCACCGTGGCTGCTGTAACCCCGATCTGGGGCTGAATGGCAGGCGCCGCCGCTGCTGGCGCACCACTCGAGTTCTCAGTCACAATCTTCAGCCATTGTTCGACCAGCCGCTTGGCTAGAATGCGAACACCTGGAAAGTTGACCGAAACAGTAATAAGTAATCCCTTCCAGGTACGAACAGAGCACAGGTATATCGAGACAAGGATCAATAGACTGTTACTTACCTTCGTTTCCGCCATCTTTGCAGAGACCCTTGACCAGAATGGGTGCCGAATTTATTTTCAATCTATTCACATCTACTGGGGAAAGCAGCAGCAATTCGAGGATTTCCTGCACCAGGGGCCAGTTCATAGCTCGAATGGAGTCATTCAGCCAGCTGTAGACCAAAGTCCATCCGCCCGAGGCCATGAAGTCTCCTAGAAGCTCCGTCTTAGTCGATTTCAAAATTTGAACGTAAACGCATTTCGAAACTAACTTCTTTGAATATTTCTGCATGAGTCTGCGAAAATTTATAAAAATAATTTATTAGATTGACGCTAGAGGGCGCTTCGACGCGCTCACAACTTACCCTGCTATGCGCTTCACCTCCTGGGCGCTTAAAATGCCACCATTGTTGTCTAGGAGCACCCGCAGGCACTTCAGTAACTGCAATGGCACTATTCGCGGCTTTACATACAAAAAGAAATTGAACAACAAAAAAGTTAGTACAACTTGGGCGGATTCCCTCGACCACAGCCGAAAACTCACCATTTTTCTCTCTATAGTATTAAAAATAAGAAACGGGTGGCAACACTGTACCACAGCAAATGCTCTACTTCCGTCTCTCTCACACGCGTGCAGATTGGATCATGCGTGCGCCTATCAACGATTGTGTGGGTGTGTGCGTGACTAATGCATACAATTTGTCCACAGATTACGTAATTCCATTTAAAAACAGCTCTTAAAGCCTTTTGTGGGTATACCTAGAATAGTAAAAACACCATACTGAGTACAAATTTCAATACTTGATTTGAGGATCGTACAATTCCACTTTCTAAACGGTAAAGATGCTACAATATATTCCTCCTTCAGAGGCCAACAAGTTATGCCAGTGTGAAAAATAAATATTGCCGTATAATATCTACTACGGATTTCTATTTAGTATTAGGGCTGAGCTAAGTTCGCTTTGCAATTTTCAATCTTTTTTCATAAGAGCTCGAAGAAAAAGTAAAACGTGGTTCGCGTTTGAAGACACACTGAGTTGCGCTTATCGAATGCCAGCAATCGATAAGTGGCCAATGCAACCCTGCAAACCAAGACTACCAACTCGCTTTCTTCTATATCTCAGAACTAAAAATTATGAACATGTAAAATGTTTTTTTACGCACAAATATTTCTCGATTTGAATTTCCTGCAGCTAACTTTGACGTTTGTTTGATCAGAAAGTCAGAGGGAAAACTAATTATTTCTCGTCCGACTACTATCTCATAGACAAGTTGGCAGCACCGTGCCACGACACAAAGGCGTTCAATGACGCCATATTGATTTTCACGAAAATTTTCACACTGCGCAATTAAAACGCAACCAAATGAAATCCAACAAAAATGCGTTTTTATAGCAAAATGATTACAATGTTAGCCACTCCGTTATGTTTTTCTGCAGCAAATAGCCTTTGCCGAGCGTATATCAGATATCAGTTTTATACAAATTTCGTATGAACAACACGTCCACGCCCCAAATGGTTATGACTTGGCGACTTTCTCCGCAGACACTTCAGTAGTTTTATTTAAGCCTACCAGAAAATAAATGACAAGATTTTTTGTATATCGTCCTTACAGTTTTTTCGACGAATTAGCGGAAAAAAACTTGCCGTGCGCTATTGTTAGTAGAGGCCGAAAATAAGTGTAGCCGTTTTTAACTTTTAACTTTTTGTATTTTGGTATTTAAGTATTTATTTGAAAAAAAAGTATCGATATGTTGCTGCTAGCCTCTACTATCGATGGTTCTGAGACTATCATGATAGTATCGAGCTACAGTCGTTGCGCTTTTGATATGTTTGGATTGGCTGCTATAAAATACGAAGACAAATTTGTAATCTAATCTAATTGGCATCTAATTTTTACAATGGACAAGTTCCTAAAAGGTTTCAATGGTTTTTTGATAATTATTTGAGCCCGATACTATTGCGATAGTATCGACTGTTTTTTTCAAACCATTCAATGTTTATATTGCTCGATTTTAATATTCGGTTTAATATTACTAGCTAGTTGGCCCTTTCAGCCCTAAACAAATAATTTTATCCGATAGAAACATATATTTTCTACAAGATTGGCAAGTTTTCAGAAGTCCTTTTTATTCCATTGTTTACATAAAAAGGTTCAAACAAAAACGGCCAAAGCATAAAACGTAAATGTTGACTAAATGTGACGTCACTGTTGCTGGTCAACCAAGTTTCTTCTATGCGTATGTACTTTTTTATACTTTATTTCTTTTAATTTATGTTAAATGTTTTGTTCCAAGCTCCATTGAAACATTATTTATGATTTTATCCTAGATTGACTGTTTTTTACCTATTAATGTGTTTTATTTATACATTTATCCGGTTCTGATACCTATTATTGGTGCCCGCGAACTGCAAAATTTCAAAACAGATACTGAGTAGTTTCTGCATTATTTGGAGCCTGAAATTACAAACAATATCTCAATTCCCTAATATCAATTTTCCCAAGGTATGCAGATTGTTGCTCATTCCGTGCCAAAGTTGCACAACAATGCTGCCTATTCATTTCTCCATGCTGCTGAAATTTTTCCCATACAAATCAAATGTATCTAACGGAGTTTGGCGGTCATTTTGAAAAGTACTTTAATGTACCTTAAAAAGTAGATTGATGAAATCGATTAAATAAACTTTTATATACCGATATACCACTCAGCAAATCATCGCGCCACACACATATACGTATACGTATATCTCTTACTCTCAATCTTCGTTTCTCTTCTTTGCGCAATTCTCTTTTACTTCTTGGTACCGTGCGTTGCATTTGAGCGGGAAACGCATTTGGAAAATAGTTGATTTTTGCGAATTATTATAGTTTTACAGTCAAACCAAAGCCATGGAACTACCGGACTACCTCATCCGGTTCTATGCCAAGGACGAGCAATTGCTGATGGAAAATACCGAAGACAGCCAGAGGGAATTCATTTTAGAACTATATTCGAAATCCGTAAGTAAAACCGTAACCACAATTGAAGTGGATGACATCCACACATGTATAATCCGGGAAACAATTTGCAGAAGGTCACCGTTGAGGATCTGCAGCGTAATCACACCCCCGATGAGGTGAGAGAGTTGTGTGTTCGTACAAAATTACGCGTCAACATGACATACCTCAACTCGGTGTGGGACGCCAAAAAGCTGCTGAACAAGACGAATTGTCTGGACAATCTTTCGGAGAGCTCCATCAATAGAGAACTCGTCAAGTGTGTGCACAGCAAAATGGTGCAGACATACACGGACGAAGATGTAGCCGATTCCAATCTCGTAGCCAAAAGCGTGCTAAAAAAGGATAACAACATTCGTCTAGATCGTTGGAAGCGTCAGCGTGAGTGCCTAGCCCCGAGGGCTATAGACTCCCCACAGGATATCTCTGAGTCGTCTTCGCACGTCTTAAGCCGACCAGTTTCATTGGAAATGGAAGCGGATAATACCAATGAATGCTATAAGGAATCAACTTTCAAATACCATCAGAAATGCGTAAGTATATATTTCACCGCAGTCAAACCGGGATGGCATCCACATATGCATAATCCTGGCAACAATTTGCAGGTCACCCCTGAGGAGCTGCAGAGGAAGTACACCCCCGATGAGGTGAGAGAGTTGTGTGTGCGTACAAAATTACGCGTCAACATGACATACCTCAACTCGGTGTGGGACGCCAAAAAGCTGCTGAACAAGACGAATTGTCTGGACAATCTTTCGGAGAGCTCCATCAATAGAGAACTCGTCAAGTGTGTGCACAGCAAAATGGTGCAGACATACACGTACGAAGATGTAGCCAATGCCAATCGCGTAGCCAAAAGCGAGCTGAAAAGGGCTAACAACATTCGTCTAGATCGTTGGAAGCGTCAGCGTGAGTGCCTATCCCCGAGGTCTACAAGTTCTTCACTCTCTACCTTGTCTGACACTCCTTCAGAAGACCCGTCGTACTCTGAGCGGCCAGCGACCCCAGAGTTTTCGAGCTGGGATGAGTCGGACACTGACGAAAATCAGCAAGACCATCCGATGGATAGTGTGCTCTATATAAAGAAAGAGCCGAAATGGTGAGGCACTGAGCTGGTCGACGATGGCGATTTGACACGCGGTCCTTCAAGGCAATTCTGAGAACATGTCCCTGGAGTAGGGCAGTCTGCAGTCACAGTCGCAGCCAGTTATATCAAGCATTGAGTATTTCAATGATTGAAGCCATGAATTCAGGAAATTCAAGTTTATTGATTAATAATTAATATTACTTTTAATTTAGTATATATATATTATATACATATAATATATTTTGTTTTGCTCTATGAGTGATTGAACCCATGTCGATAAAATGAATTAATTGAGTAAGAATATTAAAAACCTTAACTAACAATACAATTGTCGATCTTCTCGATTTATTATTTTATATGTAAAAATTTAAACGGATCAAATCTTGACAATCTGCCGATCATGGACATAACAACATGCGTGTAAGGCCATACGATTTTTTGGCACTCAAATTTTTCCGGCTCCTGCAGGCTCTCTTGAAATTGTGTTTAAAAACCAGAGAGAGCGCTCTAGAGCAGCGGTGTTCACAAGATATAACGGAAAAAGCCACACGCAGCCAGACAAAAAAAAAAACAACAACCACCGCCTTCGCTTGTTGTTGTTGTTATCTTTGTCTGTCTGCGCAGTGACACTTCCCGTTATGTCTCGTGCCCACCACTACTCAAGATCCAACCGCTCTCTTGTATGCATACACGACTGTATGTGTGCACACGTATTCTCATGTATGGTGATGTGACAATATTAAGTTGTCTTTGGATAAACCCATTGTCGACCAGTGGGTATTTAAATACAAACACAAAAATTATGAAGTTCAAGAATTGTAACGTGTTCAGGTGAAAGATATCGTGCTAATTTTTTTTACGTAAACAGGTAGTATTGGTCTACAAGGAACATTCAAAAGCAGTATTATTTTCAGCGGCTTAACTGTTGGTGTTTAGGGGGGTTAAGTGGGCTAAGTTCGTTTTTCTCCTCGGTATATTTACGGTATATTTTAAAAATGAGAAGATATTTCGGTATATTTCTAAGGGTCAGTCACTGCATCGAACAAAACAAGCGTGCGTTGGGAAACCTTTTAGGAACTTGTCCATTGTAAAAATTAGATGCCATCTGTCGATTTGTTTACAAATTTGTCTTCGTATTTTATAGCAGCCAATCCAAACATATCAAAAGCGCAACGACTGTAGCTCGATACTCTCATCGGTAGTAGAGGCTAGCAGCAAAATATCGATACTATCGATAGTTCCCCCTTTGGTTTGAGACCTCTAAATCAGGCGTGCTTCAACCTGAGAATAAATAAAAGAAATAGCTAAATAATGAGTGACAGCGAAGAAGAGACAAAGCAGAATACGGATCCAGTGGACAATGCCTGGTCGTTAAAGATTCCCGCGTTCAGGCAAGAGGACAATCCCCACGGCATGGTGGAGGAGAGCTCCTTTGCCACGCTTTTTCCCAAATACCGCGAGAAGTACCTGAGGGAAGTGTGGCCGCTGGTGGAGCAATGTGTGGCAGAGCACCAGCTGAAGGCGGAGCTGGATCTGGTCGAGGGCAGCATGGTGGTGAAGACGACACGGAAGACCTGGGACCCGTACGTCATCATCAAGTCGCGCGACATGATCAAGCTGATGGCTCGCAGTGTGCCTTTCGAGCAGGCCAAACGCGTTCTGCAGGATGACATCGGCTGTGACATAATCAAGATCGGCAATCTGGTCCACAAGAAGGAGAAGTTTGTGAAGCGGCGACAGCGACTGATCGGACCCAATGGCGCTACACTAAAGTCGATCGAGCTGCTCACCGACTGCTACGTGCTCGTCCAGGGCAACACTGTGTCTGCTCTGGGGCCTTACAAGGGTCTGCAACAGGTGCGCGACATTGTGCTGGAGACCATGAACAACGTGCATCCCATTTACAACATCAAGGCGCTGATGATTAAGCGCGAGCTAATGAAGGACCCCAAACTGGCCAACGAGGACTGGTCCCGCTTCCTGCCCAAGTTCAAGAACAAGAACATAAGCAAACGCAAGCAGCCGAAGGCCAAAAAGCCCAAAAAGGAGTACACACCCTTCCCGCCGGCCCAGCCGGAGAGCAAAATCGACAAGCAGCTGGCCTCTGGTGAATACTTCCTCAACCAGGAGCAAAAACAGGCCAAGCGGCACCAAGAGCGCAGTGCCAAGCAGGCCGATGCGGCTAAGAAGCAGGACGAGCGTCGCAACAAGGACTTTGTGCCCCCCACAGAAGAGGCTCCCAGTCGCAAACGCCAAGCCGAGGACAGCTCCAGCAGCAAGGTGGATGTCAAGGCTCTTAAGGCGAAGCTGGTCAAGGCAAACAAGAAATCAAAGAGCTGATGTGTGTGTGAGAGCCTTCTATTAGTTGTAGTTATTGCTAGAAAATCCTTAAATAAAAAAAGATAACTCTGTAATTCTAGTGCAACGTTGTAAGAGATCTCTCAGCGACCTGAGTTGCTTGCTCATTTCTCACCTGAGAGCGAGTCTCTCTCGCGCTCTCTTTCAGCCCCAGCAAACAAGCATTTCGAGGCTTAGCTCTTGCCATAGCTAACTGGCTCTGCTGTGCTGGCCAAGTTAGTTTTTTCCGTCAGAAACACGAAACACGTCGGCCACAACGGACAACGCTCGCGTGCGTTTCAGAAGTCCACCAACAACAACGACGTTGCGGGGTTATTGTTATTTGTGTATTTGCATTGAAGAGGAAATCGGAGACTAGGCGCGGGAGACGGAGACAGTTTTTAGTGGAAGCGGAGGTTGTGGAAGAATTAAAAAGAACGAAAGAAAGCCGACTCGAAAATAAAAATCGAAGAACGTCGAGAAAGCACAGCAGTAACCACAAGCCAGAGAAGGACGGAACGAGGAGGAAGACAGGTAAAAAAGAATAAGCAGTAGAGTGCGATGGATACGCAAGCCCAGTTACAGTTAGTTTTTTATGTTTTGAATTAAAATAATAATAAAAGGCTGTGAAAAGTGCCTGAGTGCGCCCTCGCCCTATCCGTGTCCCTTCTCCTATCTGTGATCATCGCTTAAAACACCCAGTTAAAATACTAGGGGAACGTGACGACGAAATTCGAATTCGTGCTAATTAGAAAAAGAATGCGCAAAGTGAGAGGATGGAGAGGAGAAGAGGTGATATATAAATGCTAAAAGAGAGATATGAATGTGTATACATGTGTGTGTGCCTGTGTGTTAAGGGAATACCTACCGTATATCAGTGGGATAAATGCGGTCAATTAGAATAAATATACCTACACGGGTGTGCATACATGCACATATGCATGTACATGTGGGCAAGATTCGATGAATTAGTGAATGAATTGTGAACAAAAAGCATTGAAAATCAATACGAAACCTGCCGCCGCTCCCAGTTTGTATATCTACACACCCATACATTGAGAGGCCCAGGCCATATACCTGTGTGGAGCCGAGTGTGTGTGGAAAAGACTCGTAAAAATATCAACAAAGCTGGAGAAAAACAGGTGGAAAAGAAAGCTTAAAAAATGCGGTCGGTCAAAAAGTAAAGTTGCACCAGACGCTGCGACGGCGACGGTGATGGGAGGTGGAAAATGACGGAGACAAATATGAGTAGCAGAGTTACCTTTTCAAGTCGTACGGCGTACACACACGCACACAAACACATATGCACAAGAGAGACTCACAGTTACACAGGTAAACTCTGTTTTCCCGCCTGCCACGCATGCGCCCGACAGAGATGGCACTAGTGCCTATTGAGCGCCTGTTGCTCCGGGGTGTCGGTGTCGATGTCTCCCCATTTGTAACAGAGCCGTGAGTCTCACTTGGCTCTCAAGCTTGTTTTTCACACAGCGCCATTTACCTTTGCCCAAGCCCCCAGTCGCGGCCCCCACAAACATTTGAGATTAAAACCAACAACTAGTGGCCATGCCATGGACAGGCGCTTATCTAAATTTTCCCTGTCCTCTATATGTATACTGCTGCCCTGCCGCCTGAATTATTTGAAAAATTACTTCCCATCCCAGAGGCCAAGTGATAAACAAGCCAAAAATGAGCAGCTGCTCCCCCGCTATGAGTGTAATTGTTTTTGTTTCTGTTTCTATATCTGTAAATGTGTGTGCTTGGGGCTTATCACGCCTTAATTAATTATCTCCACCTGAATGCCGGCCGACTATTACTAAGTATTTGCTTAAGACGTACGGCCCCGCATCGCGATCAAAGTTGATTTATGCAAGTGCGATCCACGGCGGGCACTTTCGCTGTTATGTGCGATAATTTTTATCGCCTGGTTTCGTCATTTCATTCCCCGCTGCCTCCTCTTTGGCTGCTGTAAGTCAACATCAATTTGTCAAATACCTCGTGGATGATGCAATATGCCAAGTGCTGTGATATCTCCCCACAAACATTGAGCAAATATAGCAGCCCAGTGTCAGCAGATTTGATCCCGTCGCATATCATTTCATTCCATGAGTAACACAATATACATACATACATATGTACATATTTTATGTACATAACAAGAGTACAGTGGTGTATACTGAAGGGCAGGGACCATGCAGGACAACGGGGGCCTAAGGGAATGTTCTAGCTTGTTTAGGACTCTTTCTGTTATTCCGCTTCCGCAAAGACATATATTTTTTGTTCCCTTCTCAAAAGTTTCCATTCCACCTGCAGCAGAACAAAAAAAATATATTCCACCTTGGCCCGCCAATTCCGCCCCTGTCAGATTGGTATGCGACGCTGGCGTCGCTGCCTTAGTCGGCGCCGGAGCCCAGCCTAAGCCGTCAGCGGAAAAGTAGTTGTTTCTACTGTCACTTGAGTCGCGCTGAGGGAGCGGCTGAGAGTGCTTGTGAGCGAGACCGAGACAACCGAGACACCGTCAGCGAGAGAGAGAGCATTTTCAAATCCGTGTTTGTGTGAGTGTTTTTGCAGGTGTGTTCATTTGCAAAGCTGCCGAAAGTGGGATGGAGAGCGGCTAGAGGGGATAGGCAATCAGTTGGCTATGATGGGGGAGGGAGTAGAAGAGAGGACAAGCGCGCGATTTTTGAATTCCAAAGCTGAAGCTGCGGCTGGAGGCCGCGGCGCTGAGGCTGCGAGCGAAATGTTAAAGTTTGAGAATAATTGTGGCCGATTGTGGTGGCCTGGCCATGTGTGGAGCGTGCGGGGAGTGTGGCGTGTGGAAGTGTGGAATGCGGTCTGAGTCAGCGTTTATTGGCTGCGCAATAGTCCGCAGAGGGGCGTGCCAGAGGGGAGCTCTCCTCAGTCAGATCTTGCTTACCGAACCGAACGTGTGTTTCCTTTCAGACGGTCCTGAACGCGCTTTTTGGCTAGGCATAACCACAACAGAACAGAATGGTCAACCATCATTCAAATGGCGGCGGCAGTGCCGGGAACAGCAGCGGCAGCCTGAGAGGTGGCGGCGGAGGAGCCCACGGCGGAGGCGATTACTCGGGCGATGATCGGAGTGGCGGCGGCGAGGAGCGCGAGAGATTGGACGGGGATCTGCACGACAAGCCCACCTACCTGCTGGAGCACCTGGCCACCTTCACCGTGAACAAGGAGTCGGGCATTGTTTACCCAGCGGATGGTATGCGCCGCCTGCTCCAGCTGGAGAAGACCACGGGCATCTGGTCGCAGAAGATGCAGCTCTGCCTCGACTACCAGTGGGTGCTGATAATGGACTACGAAACGGGGGTATGTTCAGTTCATCAACTCTTTGAGGGTAATCCCCATTCATTTATTTAATACATCCCCATACAGAACATCATTGAGCGTTTCCCGGCATCACTCGTCCAGGAGCCCACGGCATTCACCTCCAACGATGCCATGGAGCTGTACAACAACATTCTCGTATTCATTGTATCCGGCGGCGGCGGTTCCCGCTCCGAGATGCACATATTCCAGGTAGGATCTCTCGCTTTAACAGTCACTTGAGTTACAATCTAATCGTCTCTCTCTCTAATCTTTGATTGCAGTCACAAAGTGTATCCGCCGTCCACTTGGTGGAGGATCTGAAGCAGCTGCGTAGTGGTAAGATGATAACACAGCAACGTGGAGCTACGCCCACGCAGTCGGCAGGAGCCTCTGGGATGGCCATGATGATGAGCAAGACCTCCTCCTCGTCCTCGCACAGCCGGGCCGAGCTCCACCAGCAAAGGGAGCAGCGTGGCGAGCGGGAGCGAGACAGGGAACGCGAGCGGGACAGGGAGCGCGAGCGAGAGCGGGAGAGTCACCATCACATGCACCAAAGGAGCAGCGTGGAGCAGTACGGGATGCGAGGCGGCGGAGCCGTGACCGAAGTGGACCTGGGCCATAACGGGGAAACGGACTCGGAGCACGGTGGGGTCAACGAGCGGGACGAGACGAGCTCCACCTCCAGCGAAAAGTACGAGCGGGACGTGGCCGTGCTCAACCATTGCTTTGACGACATTGAAAAGTTCATAGCTCGGCTGCAGCACGCCGCCGCCGCCTCAAGAGAGCTGGAGAGGCGCAGGAGGAATCGGAAGTCAAAGAAGCGGGACCCAGGAGAGGGCCTGCTCACGCTGAGGACGCGGCCGCCACACGAGAAGGAGTTCGTGGACATATTCGCCAAATTTAAGCTGTCGTTCAACCTGCTGGCCAAGCTGAAGGCGCACATCCACGACCCGAACGCCCCAGAGCTGGTTCACTTCCTCTTCACCCCACTGGCCCTCATCGTGGAGGCCTCGAGCGACACCTACTACGAGTCTCAGTTGCCGGCGCGAGTCGTCAACCCGCTGCTGACGCGGGAGGCCATCAATCTGCTCATCAACTGCGTCACCAGCAAGGAGACGGAGCTGTGGCGTTCACTGGGCGATGCCTGGGTCATTCCACGTGACCAGTGGAAGGACGACGTCGGCTCCTACCACCCCGTCTTCCTCGACGGCTGGTCGCCCGACTACCTTATCAATGACGAACTGGAGCCGACATCCCCGACAGCGCACGTCAGCAAGCGTCTCGAGGTCCAGGCCGGACCTGGCCATGGCTCCGGACTCAACGGACGTGGCCCGCCAGGCGGAGGCGTCTACGATGACTACGACACTGGGAACGGCATGGCCATGGCCATGGGCATGGGTATGGGCATCGAGAAGTACACCATCCACCATGGCAACGATCGGGAGAGGGAGAGAGAACGCGATCGTGATAGGGATCGTGCGGGTGCCATCAGTGCCTCAGACTTCAATACCCGCAGCGAGCTGTCCTTTGACTCTATTGAGCGGGGCGGAGCAGCGGGCCATGGCCCAGGACCTGGGGCAGGACCTACCCTGAGCGCCATCACCGCGGGCCTGCAGAACCTCCACACGCGAGACTCTCGCGGCGGGAATGGAGGAGGCGGTGGCGGATATGGGGCAGGTGCTGGTGCCGCCTCCGAATTGTCGGTGGCAGGTGGAAGGGCGGCCAATGTCAGCGACGACCAGATGCTCGAGTCCTGGCTGGAGGATCTGCAGACGGGGGGCTCCAAGATTGTGCTGGTCACCTATCCGCGCACCGCCAACAACGACAAGGAGCTCAGTGTAATGCGAGGCGAATACCTGGAGGTAAGTATCTCAAAATGTTCTTCAATTGAAAACCCTTTTAAGCAATGAGTCAAATTCTCTGCAGATCCTCGATGACACCCGGAAGTGGTGGAAGGCGCGCAATATGCGCGGCCAGGTGGCCCATGTCCCGCACACGATCGTCACGCCCTTCAACTATGGTGACGGAGACGGAGCCCAGTACTATGGCCAGCCGGCGCAGCAGCAGCAGCCCCTGCCGCAGGGCGGTCCTGCCGGCAAGTCCCGACCAGGGGTAAGCAAACGATAATGGCTCTCTCTTGATCGATACATGCTCATACTCTAATCGATTTCTGTGCACAGGACAACCCAGGAATGGAACAACGATCCCCAGACCCAACGGATATGATGCGCAGCAAGCATCTGGGGAAGAAGGGCGAGTTCCGTTACTTCTAGAATCGATATATATATATATATAGACACCCAAACCCACGCATATATACACATACACAGACAGACAGACAGACACAGACAACACACGGATATATATATATTCGATAGTGAGAATAGAGCATTAGAGAAAGACAGACATCCCATCCGTCTAGAATCCACGTCCACTTCCCCCGCAAATTAAAAAATATTAAACCGTAAGACTAACCTAAGCTCAGCCCCAGATCCCCCACAGATTGGAGATGCGGCTGGATATATTCATAGCTAATGCTAAAGCTAAAGCTGAAGAGCTGACGAAGAGGCGCAGGCAGGCAATAAATTGTTTTAATAAAACCATATCCAAAGGATCCCCTACAAGATTGTTTGAGTTCAGCGCTAATGGAGAGCGGGTAAAGATCGAATTGAGTGATAATTTGCAATTTGCTTTATTTATTACGTGGTGAGAGCTGACTAAGTACTGCTACATTAATTTGAAAGTCCCGTCAAAGAAGTGCTGCTCGCAATCGATTGTTGACTTTGATTTATTTGAATGCTCACAAGAAGAAGATTAACTGGTGCTCTACAGGGATGTCAAAGCCAACGATTGAACAAAGCGGACACATAGCCCATCCAAACTGATCTCCCACTAGATGATGGATAGCTTCTCCACGCGGGCCAGCAACGGCGAGTCCGAGTGGTACTCCAGGCTCCTGACAGCAAAGTCGCCCACGTCATTGGTGAAGCACTTGAGGGTGCAGATGGTGAAGGGGCGCACCGGAAAGTTGTAGTACGTGAAGTACTGGCCATTGACGGCGATGAGGAAGGCGCGATCCCCGAGGCCAAAGGCAATCTTGAAAAGCTTGCCTCGCACGAAGGGGAACTCGCCCTCGGTCTCCTCGTCGTCGCTAGCAAAGCTGAAAGACAAGCAGGACGGAGGAGATAATTATTAGAGGGAATGACAGGGATCGAAACCCACCTGTTGTCCTCGCGCTGGTAGCTCCTTGAGACGGTCGTCCTGTCGAAGTTCACCTGGAAGCGGAGCACGGTGCGTCCGGTGTCGTTGCACTGGAAGCAGATGGAGAACTCCGTGGTGGGTGGACCCTTGGCGATGCATTCCATGGCCACAACGGTGCCCGTCTCGTAGCGGCGTGGCACGTCGCTCTGGAAGGCGATGCGGTCGGGGCACATGAGGGTGCGTGGAAAGACCAGGGGGAAGAGCATGCGGTGGTGGAACTGGGTGATCTTCTCGAAGTCGCCGTAGGCCCGCACGTAGTTGATTTGCTTGGGGAACTTGACGAACTCGAAGGACCCGTACAGCTGATCGTTCACGTAGATCTCGAAGCAGCGCTGGAGCACGGCCACGCGAAAGGTAAAGCTCTGGCCTGGGATCAGGGGATTCTTGGGACCGTCGCTCTTCCAGTTCTTGGAGATCTCCTCCTGCTGCCATCCCTCACCGGGCTGGAACATGCTCCTGATGATCTGGCCCTCCCGGAAATTGGCCTCGATCTTCAGGAATACCGTTTCGCTCTCATTCTGCGCGTTCACATTGTCCGTGAGGTCCAGGGAGATTCTGTTTTAAGATGAATCGGAGATTAAAAAGTTCGATCTTTGATTTGCGCAGGGGGACGGGCAAAATCTGTTGCCTACTTATTGGGATGGGGCTTGACGCGTCCGCTGACGACGAGCACATGCCCGAAGGGCACCTCCGTGAGTACCTTTGCCTTCCACACGTTCATCACAGCTCAGCGACTCCAATGCAACTGATTCGGATTCGGAGAGACTCACAGAGCCAAAGCCAGAGCCAGAACAGGACACGTCTTATGCGATGTTATGCTAATAGATTCGCCAGTCGCCATTCGCCATTCGCCGCTTCATTCCTTCATTTATTTATTGTGATTATGTAAGGGGCAGGAGGACAGGCAGCCAGCGAGCGAAACAACGGCATGAAATGAGGAATTACCTGCAGCCGCATGCAAACTTGACATGGACGTGGATGTGGATGTGGACGTGGTAAGGTTACCCCCGCGCACACACCCACACAGCCACACAGCCCGTATAACCCGTTCGTTCGCTCAATCGAATCCCATTCAACCCCTGGATCCAATCCGACCCCCTGACATGACGAGACGAGAACCTTGCGCGCTTATTTATTTGATTCAATCCTTGCCTTTGTAACCCATAACTGTCATCCTCAAGTTCTTTTCACGGTTGTTGTCACGCCCCCGACCGCCCATTTGTTGCTAGTTACACTCTCCACCCACACCCCCTATCACAGCGCTTGTCGTACCCTCGGACTCGTAAATATCGAGGGTACATTTGTATTCATAAAATCCCATCAAAAGTAGCGTCATATATCTTGGCTTTGCAGTAATACGAGTATGGGATTTATTTGCCCCACAATACGAGGCGACATTTGTTTGGATTATTCGATTCCATTTCCAGGAAATCTGTCCAGCGGATATCGAAGAGATGATAAAGTTTACTTCTTCCATTGTTTCCATTGTTGTGTTGTTGCGTGTCTTGGGTGAAATAAAACAAGGCAAAAACAATTGATTCCCTGTCTAAAGTTTTTGCATTTGCAGTAAAGTGCGACTCGGCCTAGGATGGGTACAGGGATGGGTATCGGGGGTGAGGCAAGAGCAGTCGCTGGAGCTGGAGCACTCATCCAGTCAAAGGTAATTCATTTCTTTTGACATTCCTTGGCATATTCGCTGAAGTTCTGACTCTGTCTACATTTACGCCTTCACTTTAGTGAACGTCCGCGCCAATGACATCGACATCTCCACGGAGCTCCGCTCATCCCTTGGCCTGACTACGTGGCCCTCGTCTCCGTTTCTGTCTGTGTCTCTGTCCGTGTCGCTTGCACCTGATCGAATTTGGCCCAAGTCTTTGGCTTTGGCAGTCTCTCAGTCTCTGCCTCTGTTTTAGTTTCTGTTGCTGATTGCGTTTCACCTTGGCACACTCCGCTCCACCCACGAGAGAAGGTGCTTGGCTACGCCTGCTACCGCTTGCAAATTGCTAATTGGTTAGTTATGGCTCCTCTGAGCGGAGCTGCTCCCAGGGTGACCTTGTCAACCCCTGAACCCCCCATACACACCACCCGAAACAGAAACCGAAACAGAGCTAATGAAGTAATCGTGTCGATTTCAACTTTAATTTCCGGTTGTCACTCCAACTGATAACTCGAGCAAGGTTTGTGTACGTTGCACAATTATCAGTTTTCAGTTTTCGTTTTCCTTTCACCCACCCACCCAACACCACCCACCCCTGCGCCACGTTGCCTGCTACCTGGGCAACCCCTCCAAGACCCCAAGAGAAAGAGAGAGAGAGAGAGAGTGGCGGCTTCTCCGAAGTCTTATCTCAGTTATACTTCTGGTTCGAGCTCCCCATTCCCCAGTCCCGCATATCGAATCGGTTCGAGTCGAGCGACGACACGTCTACAGAAATCAGATTTTACAGTCGTGGGACCCACAAATCGTACAAGCAATATAACGATAATGGGTTTATGGCTCCCGCCGACTGGCATCCATGCCACCATGACACCGCCGCTACACCGCTCCGAAAGCCAAACGGTAGCCGAAGATCCGAGCGATCGTTAAATCGGGAGTCTTCGGGAATTGGGGAATCGGGTAGGTAACCGGCATATAACCAGCACCATTTCGGCTTGGGGAGGGGACTCCCAATTGACTTCAGTTCTGCAGGTGTCGTCGGGCGTCGGGTTGGCGCGAATAGTCAGAGTGGAGTGGGAGTGGGGTGGGGAGCAGGGCGTGCATTATCAGTGTCATTATCAACATCGATCCACTCGATGAAAGGCCGAGAATTGTGCAATTTCAGATTGATTAAGGCATTGGTCGTGATTGAGGGAGGCATAGGGAGAGGGGATGGGCACCCACACCCAACCTCACCTGTCCAGTCATCGGAGATCGCGCTTGCTGATGATGATGACGATGGATGACGTTGACAACTTGGATACGATCTCCGATCTCCGTTCTACGATAAGCACGCTTCCCCTGTCAGCTGTCTGTGTAATCGCGTTCGTCCCGCTTTGGACACACTCTGGAATAGCCCGTTGTGTCCATGGCTCTCCACCCACGTGGCGTTTACTTGAGGCGTGAAAATAACTTAAGCCAAACGAACAAACTTTTTGCAATGCGATCACAGTTTGCATTCCCCTGGCCCAAGTAATTCGCTGCCTAATTCGGTGGGTGGGCCATGCACAGGCACGCCTTGGATGCACTGCATCCATCGTTGGGTCTTGGTCTGGGTCTTGGTTGTTACACGTTGGCACCAGGCACTGAGCGAGCACTGAACGCGCACTGATCGTGATCGATCGCCTGAATGGCCGGATGGATGGGTCTTTTTTGGAGGAGTAGACCAGGGAGCACTATGCACTTGTCGCGTATCGGAACGTAACTGAATTGTTGGATTTGACGGTGAAGTTTAAAACGTCAGCTCTGCTTGGTGTCTGGTGCTTGGGGCCCACGAAGTACTCGTCGATCGCCCGAACCTCCGATTGCCGATATCTCTCACCTCCGATGGCGGAGGAAGGAGGAGGAGCTCTGCTCCGAAGGTGTCTACGCGCCCTGTGTGTGAGGGAGAAGCCCAGACAGTAACAGCAACAGCAACCGAAACAGAAACCGAACGGCAAACAAATAAATATGAAATATTGAACGCATAAATGTGGAGCAAAAGTGGGTAATATTTTTGTAGATACTGGTACGCTACGGGTACGGGTACGGTTACGGGTACGCTACTCTAGGCAGTGCAGTGCTGTGTGAGTGCGTGCTGTCTTTGTATTGGCCATTAAAAACAGTTCGACTGACTCTTTCTTTCATTTTTATTTGCTCTTTCGTCTCTGCTGTCAACGTAGCCGCAAAATGAAAATTAAATGGCCCACAATTTGTCTCAATAGATTCCATTCCCATTCCCATTCCATGGTTGCTCTTATCAGCAGCAGCAGCAGCAGGTAGTGGGAATGGTACTATCTATAGCTGAGGGTTCTCTGCTCCCTTTAAATTTACCTGAAGACCAGGTCAGGCGAATCCCCATCCATCTACATGCATGTGTTGGCGGCTGTGATGTGCCGTGTGTGACACCTGACAACTTCAACGACTGTTTGCTCAACGTCGAGCGATCTGTTACCCCTCTGAAGTTCCCCTCCCTGCCACGTTTGCCATTGTCACAGAGAGAGAGAGAGAAGGAGACCATTGCTCCAGACCACTGCCATGCCTTATCAACGGACAGCGAACATGTCAAGAAAAGTCATAATTTTCTTTGATGTTTGCACGAGCCGGAGTGTCATTAATTGATTTATTACTAAAGTTGATTGTCATGTTCTGTCTCTGCTCCGTTCTGGTGTCGGGTGTGTGGCTCCCTGGTCTGGCGGCTTGTCCGATCTCTGCCCGATTTGAGGATGTCCAACTAATTACATATATGGCCAACTAATTAGGTAATGTGTTTGCTTGGCACTTGCGCTGGTGCCGTGCCGTCCCCTTCAATGTGACCCCCAGGAGCACTTTGATAATCTATGAAAGGGTTGGGGGGGTGGGCATGTTGATGCAAATGCCAATGGGATCCCATTCCCTGCAGTGAGCAGTGCAGTGTAAATTCCATTTCGATTCTTGTTTAAAGTAAGCATACAGACACCACCCCATTTTGTACTCCAATTCCCGGTTCCCGGTCATGTGTGTCTACATTTGGAGCGTGTTTATTCAGCTTGGAAACTGAGCCAAGACAGCAAGACAGCACAGCAAACACTTTGGTGTACATATGTAGTACATATATGTAGTATTGTACGAGTACATATATTGTATTTATCAGTCATCTACGGCTAGAGTTGCATAAAAAAACCAGACCCTCAATGGCGGCGATTGTCGTCGGCATTTTGTGACGTCTGCTTCTTTAGGCTTCCTTTGCCGGTTGCTTCGATTACATTCTGCATTACCAGGTCGTAGAGGTTTTGCTCCTCATCTTCTTCGTTGGCCTCTTCATCCTTCAATCCCACCTGCAGGCACTCCAGCTCTTTCCTGTATTTGTCAAGGGCCTCCTGCAGTAGTTTCTCTACCGGCGAGTAGGTGATGCGTGACCTAAGACGAGCCTTGGCCAGTTCCAGGGACTTGAGGGGGAGATTTTTAACTTTAACTCTTCAATGGGAAAGACTGCTCCATCTCACCTTGAGGGTGTTTGTGTTCCTTAGCAGGGCCTCTTCGTAGGACAGCACTTTGGGTGGCGACGGATGGATCGAAATCTTGGCCAGCTTCTCGGTTTGGCGCTCAAGCTTCAGTTCCTCAGCCTGGCTGCAGGAAAATGGAAATACAAGAGTGTTCTTTCACTGAAGCTGCTGCTTACACTTTCTCCAGTTTCTGATCGATTTCCGACTCCAGTGCCATATATTTTTCATTAATTTCCTTTATGAGGTCCATCGTTTTTACCAAAGGCAAAAAAAATGGGAAAACAAATGAGTTACCTAGCAACGGTAAATTTATTGCTCTGTCCTAACAGCTAGATGAATGGAAACAGGTGGTCACACTGCCGCGCGTTTGCTATCGATATATCGAATAGACGCAATGACTCCGAAACGACGTGTGATGTCGAGAAAATCAATAGAATTATGGAAAAATACAGGAAAATCTACGAAGGGAATTTATTTATTTTTTTTATATATTATTTTGATCCGCCATAAGTGTTGCGCGCCAAAATTTGAATTATAATCTTTTGTTTTAATTAGTATTGATAGTTGGGAGCAAAGTGCTGCAAAGCGCAAAAATAGTCGAATATTAACCCACAAAGGCCGCTATTTATCCTATTCAAATACGAAGAACTAAATTGCCTATTAGTTTTGGATTTATTAAATGTGGTTTTCTACGTCCAAATCCACACAATACCTTTGATCTGTTACTCATCACAATCCAGTGGAATCATACAAGCTATACATTTACATACAATTAGCCTCCTACTTAATTAAGCACCGCTCCCTCGTTGCATGTCCTACTGATCACGCAGGAAATGGTTTATGTGCGATGCCACCCGCTCCGGCGTGACCAGGTGCAGGTGATGGGTGCCAGGTACTTCCACGTAGACCACATGGGCAGCGTGCTGCTTGAGGGTGGCTATCACATCTGCGTAGACCTGGGGAGTCTCGAACTTCATACCGGGAGTGCCGCGGATGTTGAGCACCTTGCAGCGAATCTGGCGGGCATAGGCCAGCGTCTGCTCTGCGGTGAACATGCCCAGCAGGCTCACCTTGAGCCGCAGGTCCCGAGCAAAGAGATAGCCATCCTTGGTGGGGTTGTGTCGCATGCCCCGCTGCATCAGGATCTTCACCGAGGCCTCGTCGACGGACCCATCGTAGGCGTCCAGCACCAGTTTGATCATCTCGTCGTACGAATAGCAAGGCTGCTTGCTCTCCGGCAACGATTCATAGTCGAGGAATTTGTCCAGCGCCTTGCCCGTGCCCTCTGCAATCCGCTGAATCCCGCGCACCGTGGGCCCGGCAATGTCAATGTTTATCAGCTTGTCCACCTCATCAGGGAAGCTGGCGGCGTACATAAAAGTCAGCGCTCCGCCCAATGAGTGGCCCAGTAAGGTCACGTTCTTCCAGTTGTACTTCCTCACGATGCGGCGGATCAGGCAGATGCCATCCCAGAAAATGAAGTACTGCATGCCCTGCGGATAGTGCGACGAATTGCCGTGGCCGGGCAGATCGATGGCCAGCACAGCGCTGTCGGCCGGAAGCAGGGGGCACAGCCTGTCGAAGCTTCCACAGTTGTCCTGCCAGCCATGCAGAGCGATGATGGGCTGCTTATTGCGCGAGCCCCACCACTTGCCTGAGATGGTGGAGGAGAAATAACGTCTGATTACTCGCTGCGTCATGATGAAATCACGTCGATTGCTGATGCTATGGGCCGATGTCTCCGTACCGTAGATAAGCCGAGCCAGACAGTCTGACTCACACGCACCTACCTGCAACAGTGCCCCACGGTACATCGATCTCGAACTCCTGCCAGCTGTCCATTCCCAGCAGTTCCTCAACGACGCCATCTGAAAGGGGAGCAGACATTGCACGCAACAAAATTTAACACTTGCAAAACAAACAGCAGCGCAGAGCAGGGGAGAGATGGCGAAACAGTTTGGTGAAATCGGGTTGTCTGTCGCGCCAGGTGAGAGCGCTAGACTTTGGACCACAGGTCAGACTTAAAAGGTACCAGTACCACACACTCACTTGTCTTTGACGCCGCCGCCAGCCCAAGAGCTGACGATGTTAATGACGTTGTTGTTGCCAGTCGTGCTTGTGCCATGGTCAAGATTCCGATGGTGCCCGTGTAGTTTTTGTGCAGGCAGACGCAGGTGAACGGCGACTGGCTGCAAAAAGAGCGAATAGCGACTAACTAAAAATTGTAAATGTTTTAGTCGCGGGCTATCGAGTAAATATTCGATAGTCGATATCGCCTGATTGCAGCCGGGTGACAACTCTGTGCTCGGATTGTTTTGCTTTTGCGTTGCTTCGTTAAAAAATTTAAATTAAATTAATTTCAGCAGGATAGGACCCTTAAATCACCATGTAAGTGGAATATACTGTACCATTTGCTGTCCAAACACTCACCCAAGCCTTCTGCAGGACGGAGTTCTGGAAATCAAACCAGCGCAAGTACTGTGACTTCTGCAAGTGCTGGCTGAGCGACAACAAAGCGGTAGGTGCTCGATTTCATTCCCAAATGATCGGCCCAACTAATCAAAACTCTTCCAGAGCATCGCCTTCCACGAGGATGGCAAGCGACACAAGCTGAATGTGGCCAAGCGGATCACGGACATAAGCCGCAGTAGCGAAAAGTCTGAGCGGGAACGCCTGAAGATGGATGCAGACATACGAAAGATGGAGGAGGCAGCCATGAAATCGTATGCCCAGGACATACACGGCCGTGCGGACATGACAGCCCGTTCCATCAACACTGTGATGAGCGCGGTGGCTGCCTCGGGCAGCAGTGGATCACGCGGTGGAGCAAACGCCCCTGGCAGAGGCAGGCAGGTAGATCCCATGCGATTAGAGGGCTACTCCGACGAGGAGGAGGACAATCGGCGCGTAACAGTGGGCAAGGTGGGAGCCGAAGCCGTTGTGCCCGACGCCTCGCTGTGGGTGGAGGGAAAGTCGGATGAGGGCCACACCTACTACTGGAACGTGAAGACGAACGAGTCCGTGTGGAAGCCCCCCAAGGAGGGATACCTATCCTACGAAGAGTACGAGCGCATCAACCAGCTGGCTATCAACCAGCAGGAGCTATCTCAGGAGCAGGAATCGCTTCGGTTTCGAGCCAATGCGGATGAAGAAGTTGCCCGCGTTAACCGAGAGCGCCTAAAGGCATTCAGAAAGCCAGAGACAGTCAAGGAGAAGAAACAGAAGGAGGAAAAGAGACAGGAGTTCAAGACTGAAGAGGAGGCGGCCACCAAGGTGATTGGCCAGTGGCAGACAGTGGAAGTGAAGTACGTCCATTGGTTCCTTTTCTTATGGACATTTATGACTTTATGAATTTTTATTTTTTTTTTGCAGGGCGCCTGAAGAGCCCATCGACTGGGAGTTGCCCCAGTCCGACTACTATGTACCTCCTCCTGTGGTGTCCACGTCCAGCGAGCCCGAGCCGCCTGTCAAGCGCTTCAAGGAGAAGACCATTTCCGGTCTGGACGGAGAGTCCGCTGCCAGTGTACCTGCAACATTCAAAAAGCGCAAATTCGCCAGCAAGGGCAATGCTCGGCAGCGTTTAGATGACTAAGACAGTAGATGTGTAGTTGATAAAGTTGACTATAAAGATAGTTCCAAATTCCGTTGTTAAATGCATTTTTCAGCGTCTGCCAAAATTTTAAAAATCAAAATTTGATCAGAATCTGTTGCAGGGATGCACATATTATTTAAAGCAGGCTGTTAACTTAACTCATGTTGTTAACGTGGTTAAATAAAGCGGAATTTCAAAATTTCTTAGAATCTAAAATTTTGAAAATTGAAACTTTTGAAAATTGAAATTTGTGTTGTTCCAAAAGAACAACTGAAACAGCTTATGGACTGTGTGATGTGGTTTTTACCCCATTTTCTTGTCTGTAATTGCTTACATTTTTTTTAGTGAATTCGTGAATGTCAATTATTTACGGTTGCGTTAAAAAATTACCGAAAAAATACCGCATAGACACGTACGAGCTAGGAACACCTCATCCCAGATGGATGGTGGAATAACTGGGACATTTTCGAAACCGCAAAACCTTACAGACCATCCCCGAAATGGATGATGGATGGTCGCCAGTGTGAAATATCGATGTGCAGAGCCACAAACTATACAATATAGATTATTGTGTTGTTAGTGGCAGAGCCTATAAAAGTTTTTTTTTTTTTGTTATTTACTGGTTACTGGTTCTCGGTTTCGGTCACTCGACAAAACAAATCAAGTTATTTTTCAAAATATTAAGACACATTTCAAATTGACCGCCAAACTCAATTTAGCGCACCAAAAATACTGACATTTTTCGCTCTCAATTCGTGGAGAGTTTGCAAAACTCGCTCTCAAATCGTGGAGAGTTTGCAAAACTCGCTCTCAATTCGTGGAGAGTTTTCAAAATTTGCTCTCAATTCGTGGAGAGTGCTCTCTTTTCAGTGGAGAATAGTGTTTTTGTGGAGACTTTCCCCTCATTTTCGTGGTGTGGCAGCATGCTGCTGAAATTTTTCCCATACAAAATCAAATGTATCTTACGGGAACGCGTATGGAATAAAGATTCATTGTTGCGTCATTCCATACGCGTTCCCGTATGATACATTTGATTTGTATGAGAAAAATTTCAGCAACATGGGGAAATGAATTAGCAAAATTGTTGTGCAACTTTGGCACGGAATGAGCAACAATCTGCATACCTTGGGAAAATGGATATTATGGACTTGAGATATTGTTTGTAATTTCAGGCTCCAATTAATGCAGAAACTACTCAGTCTCTGTTCTAAAGATTTGAACAAAGTTTTGCAGCTCACGACTACCAATAATAGGTATCAAACTAACCAATCCTGAAGAAAAATTATGTATCTATCGGATAAAATTATTTGTTTACGGCTGAGAGGGCCAACTATCTAGTAATATTAAACTGAATATCAAAATTGACGAATTTCATATCACAAAATATCACGGTATGGCAGCCCGCAGCAACTACGAATTGCACGAGTCTGGCAACGCCACAAAACGACGACAAATTCGTTTTATGCTGTTTTTGTTTGAACCTTAATATGTAAATAATCCAATAAAAAGGACTTCTGAAAACTTGCCAATCTCTTAAAAAATTTATGTATCTATCGGATAAAATTATTTGTTTAGGGCTGAGAGTCCCAGCTAGCTGGTAATATTAAACGGAATATCAATATCGAGGAATATAAACGTTGAATGTTTTGAAAAAACAATCGATACTATCGTGATAGTATCGGGCTGAAATAATTATTAAAAAACCATTGAAACCTTTTAGGAACTTTGACACCTCTAGTCTCTTTTACTCAATAAAAATGGAATTTCGCTTAAAGAAACGAGCCCGCACTGAAGTCAAAATCGAGGTGGTCAGCTTGGAGACCAAGTACCCCCACAATGTCATGATGTATTACTATCCACCGACAGACGATATTCACATTGAGGAATTCGAGGAACTTGCTGTCGAACGACTGCGTCTACTGCGCGTCATGGACCGCGCAGGATCGAAGGGACTACGATTGCTTTCTGAAGAATGGAAGGAATATGTGAATGCAGAGCTAACACGCGAGGGTCTGCGCAGCTATCTGAGATTGTGTTCACCCGGCGGAGTCAGTGGCCAGGGAAGCAAACACGAGTCGGAAATACAGACACGCCGGCGCGACTACTTGTCGCACTTTATACTACGATTGGCTTACTGTCGGTCCGAGGACTTGACACGCTGGTTTGTAGCCCGCGAGATGGAACTTTTCAAATATAAGTTTGCAGCGCTGAGCAGTGCCGAGGTGAAGCAGTTCCTCGAGGCGAATGATTTCAATTTCGCACCTCTGACAGAGTCACAAAAGGATGAGGTCAAGGACGGTCTTTACGAGAGCACAGCGGGCCAAAGTGTTTCCAAGATTGAGCTTCTCGACTTCTACAAGGTGCCATTCACGCAGGTATTGGACTTGGTGCGCAGTCGACGGTGCTATCTAAAGGAGGGCTTTGCCTATGTGAACACCCACGATCTGGTCTCCATTGTCGGTACAAAGCAACAGGATATAATCGAGCAGGGCCTTCTGGCCTCCAAGGGCCTCATAGACGAGGTCGAGGGAGATGAGCGCATCTCGCGCATGCTCAAGGCTTTGCACAACTCGTACACCGGCAAGGATTACACAGTGTGCCGCGATGCGGCTGTGGCGATCGAATCCCTCAACCAGCTGTCCAAAACTTCAATGCCGCTATGCATGCGCATGTGCCACGAGCACATCCGTGCCCAGCATCACGTGAAGCACGGTGGCCGGATGCAGTATGGTCTCTTCCTCAAGGGCATTGGTGTAACGCTTGAAGATTCCATTCGCTTCTGGCGTGAGGAGTTCACAAAGAAGATGGATGCAGATAAGTTCAACCGCAGCTACGAGTACAACATCTACCACAACTATGGCAAAAAGGGATCCATGGTTAACTACACTCCCTACTCGTGCTCCAAAATCATCAAGGAAATGGCGGCACCGGGAGACTGCCACGGCTGTCCCTATAAGTCCGTGGATCCGGCTACACTCAAAACAAAACTGGCCTCCTACGGCCTGTCGCCCAGCCACATCGAGGAGGTAATGTTCTTTGTGACGCGCGGTCACTATCAGATCGCCTGTGGCAAGTACTTTATGCTCACGCACAACTCGAATGTGGAACCGACCATTAATCATCCGAACACCTACTTCGAGGAGAGCCAGATCCTGATGGGCAACCGTCAGAAGCGCACTGCTGGCTCCATGCCACTGAAGGCCAAACCCAGGCCAGACATTAAGGGACATGCGGACAGGTCAATGCTCAACGGTGACGACGATGACGAGCTGTGGAAGATCGCGGAGACACAGGAACGGGCATATCAGAGCCAAAAGGACATCTCGGAGGCCTTTAATGATGATCTAGATCTTACGGAAATTACATTCTAATCAGCTAAAATAATAAAATTACGTATCTGTAGGCTAGCAATCGTGTTTAATGTCTCATGTCCGACAAAGGTGGTAGGTCTCTGATCTGGGATTTCCCGCCTTACTAATACTTCGACCATACGGGGGCCATCCATTCACATCTACGTAATAGATGCCTCTTGCTTTTTTCTCAATTATGTATCCCATCGAGGAAGGATTGCTGCAGTCGCGCCGTCTGAGCTCGTCCCAGGAACTGCATTTGGTGGCCATAAAGTTATTCTCCTGTTGGGGATATGCGCTCTCAGCAAAGTACTCTACAGCGCGTGTGTGCGAGCAGCCAATGGTCAGGCACCCGGGCTGTATGGGATGTGCGCCGATAAGGTCCGTGTTTAATGCCGACCAGGAGTACAGTGTGTCCACATAATCGGCTGCGTCCACAATCTGAAATTGTTCTTGTTATTCAAGTGAACTTCACAGTGCTGTGCAGGACGTCGCGGCGACACATGAAGGCTCTCGACATCATAGCGATGGCGGAGGATTCGTTAACGGTGTTTGTCCAGCCGGTAGCCAAGATGACCACCTTGCGACCCTTGCCAAACTTGGAGTGATTCCAGAGCTTCGCTGCATCCAGCAGTGGAACACTGTAGTTGTGGCAGGGCGTCATGTACTGAAAGTGCATTTTGTTTATATCTGGAGTGATCTTCGGTGGTACTCTGTCCATAAACAGCGTGGAAGAGCCTGTGGAATCACAGCGATTGACATGCGTGCTAAGAGAAGACATATTCTATTCTTACACAGGGTATCTATCGCATTGGCTGCCAGCTCGAGAGGAACAGCCGTGAGGATATTGGCTTTCACGGTCACAATGTCGGTCAGGACTCTGGGCAGAAGGAGGCCTTTAGGAACATCACCAAATTGAAGAGGCTCTTCATGTCCGACAATAAAATCATGACTATTCAACAGGATACGTCCTATTATATTCAGAGTGTGCAGTATTTGGATATTTCCTTCACCAACGTACTCACGTATAGTTACCAAATATCTATGCCTACACTTGAAATGGCCATGAGCCTTATATACGGCCTAAAGATACAGCAGAACGCATTCAAACTGCTGCCGGAATTGGTCTACCTGGATGTTTCCCACTCGAAAATGACCCGCAACAGTGCCGTGGCCTTCGCACATTTGGGGCCCAAGCTTAAGTTCCTAAGCTTGTGCTACACGGCCATTCCTATGGTGAGCAGCGCGATTTTCAAAAACACCGTCCTCGAAGGCCTCGATTTGTCGGGAAACCCCTTCGTGTCGAACAACATCCTAGATGATGCATTCGATGGGATTGGCAGTACGTTGAAGTACCTGTATTTTGAGCACTCCAACCTCAAGGATATGGAGTGGTCCAGGCCCCTGAAGAACGTTCAAATCCTGGGCTTGGCGGGTAACAGCATAAACCCTGCAGAGCTTGGAAATCCTCGATTTAAGCTCTAACCACGTTGGTAATTGGTATAAGAGCGCTTTCGACAATAACTCCGAGCTACGTGTGCTGAATCTTCGCAGTAATAACATCAATGTCCTGACCAATGAGATGCTCAAGGACTTTGAACGCCTGGAGTACCTGAGTCTCGGCGACAACAACTTCATTTGCCACTGCCACCTGAGGGAAGTGGTCGAGGTGGCGGCGGGCAGCAACAAGGAAGCCGACTGCTCGTACAACCTGCTCAACATAAGCCCCACAAGTTCGATGAGCATCCAAAAACTGCTGGGTACCGCGGAACCTCTAAATATAAATCGAAAGCTCTGGCAGAGCCGATTCCTGCCACATTTGAATAAGAGCTACAACAATATAAAGGACTATAAGCGCGTGAACAAGATTTTCAAATTGCGATTCTTGGCTGGCGAGTATAGTGCCTCCAGATGTCCTGCCTCGACACCCTACCAGTTGTCTGAGCTAAGCAACGAACTGCTGACCCTAAAATTTCAGCTGCTTGACTATGATGCGACGCAATACTGGTGCTTCAATGACACCGATCAAGTGCAGGTGGAGGAGCTGAACTGTCAGGTTCGGTCCATGAGTGAGATCACGACGGACTTGCACAACCTTACGCGACGGTTATCGCGGTGCTCGGCAGCATCCTTGGCCTGTGCATCTGTGGCTTCATTATCTATCTAAAGCGCTGGCATATACACTACTACTACTCGTCGCTAAAGTCCGCAGCCCTCCTTTCCAGCGCATCGAAAGAGTCGGTGGACAGCTTTACGCATTTGTCCCAACGTGATCCCAGCACTGTCTACGATATCTTCATTAGCTACTGCCAAAACGACCGTACGTGGGTGTTGAATGAACTGCTGCCCAATGTCGAGGAAGCAGGAGATATTTCCATATGTCTGCATGAACGAGACTTTCAGGTTCGGTGTTTATTTGTGTTGGGTCCCTGTGTGTAGATCGGAGTGACTATACTGGACAACATTATCTCATGCATGGATCGATCGCACTCATTGATGCTGATCATATCCTCCAAGTTTCTACTGAGCCACTGGTGTCAATTCGAAATGTATTTGGCCCAGCATCGGTGAGCGATGCCATTTTTGCATACAATTGCAGCTCTGACAAACTTTTCTTTCAGCATCTTTGAGGTCAGTAAAGAACATTTGATCCTCGTATTCTTGGAGGATATACCTGATAAAATATAGTTTAATACGAAAAAAAAATACTCAAGCTGTGTGCATGTCGTTTTTGCTTTCCACAATTTTTAAAATTTACTGGTTACTGGTTCTCGGTTTCTGAGGTCACTCGACAAAACAAATCAAGTTATTTTTCCAAATATTTAGACACATTTCAAATTGACCGCCAAACTCAATTTAGCGCACCAAAAATACTGACATTTTTCGCTCTCAATTCGTGGAGAGTTTGCAAAACTCGCTCTCAATTCGTGGAGAGTTTTCAAAATTTGCTCTCAATTCGTGGAGAGTGCTCTCTTTTCAGTGGAGAATAGAGTGTTTTCCCTCATTTTCGTGGTGTGGCAGCATGTTGCTGAAATTTTTCCCATTTCAGCAACATGGGGAAATGAATTAGCAAAATTGTTGTGCAACTTTGGCCCGGAATGAGCAACAATCTGCATACCTTGGGAAAATGGATATTATGGACTTGAGATATTGTTTGTAATTTCAGGCTCCAATTAATGCAGAAACTACTCAGTCTCTGTTCTAAAGATTTGAACAAAGTTTTGCAGCTCACGACTACCAATAATAGGTATCAAACTAACCAATCCTGAAGAAAAATTATGTATCTATCGGATAAAATTATAAATAATGTTTACGGCTGAGAGGGCCAACTATCTAGTAATATTAAACTGAATATCAAAATTGACGAATTTCATATCACAAAATATCACGGTATGGCAGTCCGCAGCAACTACGAATTGCACGAGTCTGGCAACGCCACAAAATGACGACAAATTCGTTTTATGCTGTTTTTGTTTGAACCTTAATATGTAAATAATCCAATAAAAAGGACTTCTGAAAACTTGCCAATCTCTTAAACAATTTATGTATCTATCGGATAAAATTATTTGTTTAGGGCTGAGAGTCCCAGCTAGCTGGTAATATTAAACGGAATATCAATATCGAGGAATATAAACGTTGAATGTTTTGAAAAAACAATCAATACTATCGTGATAGTATCGGGCTGAAATAATTATTAAAAAACCATTGAAACCTTTTAGGAACTTGTCCATTGTAAAAATTAGATGCCACCTGTGGATTTTTTTACAAATTTGTCTTCGTATTTTATAGCAGCCAATCCAAACATATTAAAAGCGCAACGACTGTAGCTCGATACTATCATGATAGTCTCAAAACCGTCGATAGTAGAGGCCATCAGTAAAATATCGATACTATCGATAGTGCCCTCGATGGTTTGACACTTCTAGTTCAAGCGGGTGGTGGGTGCGCATCGTCGATTTTGTTGTTGAAAAGAATCTGTGTGTTGTGTTCGTGCTTAATTCTGTTGACAACAAAAGGCTAAAAGTGAAATGCAAAAGTGTAAATAAAAATAAATTCAACTAATTTAAAGGGAACACCCGAGCCACCGCTCCAGTAAAGTGTACGAAAACAACGTAAACAACGATAATATTCGACTAAAAGTTGTTTGCTGTTCGAAAATTACGGCAAACACACAAAAGCAAATCCGTAACCGTTTCCGTACAGAGCGCCCGTTACCCGTAACCCCCCGTAAGCTGCGGCGGCGTCCGTCGTTGTTTGTTGTGCGATTCCAGTGTTCGCTGTGGGGATTGTGAGAGGGGAAAGGTCAGTACTGGCAGGTGTTGCGTAAAGAGACCGTCCTCGTCTCCACTTCCGTTACCATAGACTTACGTCAGTCTCAATCTCTGGATCCGTGCCGAGCCTTGGCTGCAAATCAAGCAAAATTCAGTTCGTTTACGTCTACAACAGCTCCGTCCCCCACGCCGCGGACTCCTACCGCACGGCTGTCGCCCCCTACGCACCATACGCCGCCGAACGGAGCCACCACCATCCCCTGCCGCCCCAGGATCCGCTGCCATCGGATACCGAGCAGCTAGCGGACAGCGACAGCAGCCAGAGCAGCGTTCCAGGTAGTACCGGACCCCCCGCTGCCGCCAAGCCGCTGATTGTCTCCACTTCGCCGGAAGCAGGAAACAACAGGGCCACCAGCGAGCACCAGAACAGCAGTAGCATGGCAGTAGTGCGCAAAAAACAGGACGACAAGTACCTGCTCGCTCTGCGGGAGCTGGTGACGAGCGGTGCGGGGAATCGGCAGTGCTTCGACTGTGGCCAGAAGGGTCCTACCTACGTGAACATGACGATCGGCTCCTTTGTCTGTACCCGGTGCTCGGGTGTGCTGTAAGTACTTAATTCCCTCTTTCCCTCTCTCTTTCTTACCCTGCTGGCCATGGGAGGGATTCTCCGAACAGTGGAATTTTCCATTTATTCATTTTCTGTTTCGTTCTGTTTGCCCCTGCCAACTCTAACGGAATCCTGTCATTCATCTATCCTGCTCGTCCAGTATTGTCTAGAGTCTAGACTCTAGAGTCGGAAAACAATTGTGCCCCTGTGTCGGCTCTCTTTCATTTCAAACGGGATTCTTGGCATTTCAATAACATCCTCTCGCTCATCAGTTGCGTTCCAGTACATTCCAGTGCATTTCTCTTAACCCTGGTCTGACCGCTGTGGATTATATGAATTTCTTACACACCACACATCTTTCTTATCTTGGGCTGACGTCAATTTTCGATCATTCCCCCAGAGAGTGGAGTGACCGATAATTTGCAGGGGATGCATTGTCCGACCTGTCGCCTCCATCACGGCCACCTCCCCCCTATCAGCCAATGCTCCCCGCTCGCTTGTCTCGCTGTGTGTTTCGCGAAAGCGAAAGCCATTCCATTCAATTCCACTCAATTTCAATCCGTTTCCTTTCCTTTCCCGCCAAGCGAGCGAGCAATTTGGAAATGCAAATCGAAGACAAACTTTCAATTGTCGCTGTCGCTCTTTGTCGCGCTGCTACTTTCGGCCGAAACGAAATTGTTTTGCGGCACTTTCGATGGCGTCTGCGATTCGATTTCTATAGCCCCCAAACAGCCACCCATTCCACCCACGGTTGGGTGGTGGGTGTCCTTACCTTCAGCGGCGGAACGTCAAGTAATTTGTAAAATTGGCTCTGATTCGAGCCAGTTATTTCCAGATTGGGGTCATCTCCGCCTCTTGTTACAATTGATTTGATTTACGCATTTCCGGATGGGGCCTCACATTGCATGATTGCTCTCCCGCTTCCGCCCGTCCCGTTCCCACGTCTGGACGCCCGCCCTAGATGGGAATCTACTCCGGAGCAGCTCTCAATTTAGCAGCATGCGGGCGGTACTGGTCGTTGCATCTGCTGCAAGCAAGCCAGGTGCCCAGTGCCCAATGTACTGCACTGGAAACCCTTCATGCCGGATGACTCATTCCCATTATCCACCGCTGAAAAGGGGAGACAAATGTTGGCATGTAAATGGAAAGCCGCACAAATGCACCGACAGGAATGGCAGAAGGGACTCCAGGGAGAGGGAGGCGACGAAACCCACTCCCGAGTCCAGCCGAAGACAAAATTGCTGTGCATGCTCAGCCCTCTCCTCTGGAACCCCTTCCTCCTCTTTCGTTTGCTGGAGGAATCCGCTGCAGACCGGCCGGCCACTTGGAATGGTTTAATGGAGGAAGCGGATTCAGGAATGGAAGTGGGAATGACGTTGGAATGGTAGTGGTAGTGGTTGTGGTACTGGCACTGGTAGTGGGGGTACAGGAAAAGGGGTTCGGTTCGGTTCGAGTAGAGCTCGAAACCAGTCAAGCAGCTTTTGCGCATACTTGTGTATTTTTGGGCTGCTATCTGCTGGCTGCTATGGCTGTGACTGTTGCTGTTGCGGTCTGCCTGCGATTGCGGACAAATTGTTGCACCTCAATCAAGCAGCAGTCGCCTCGTCTGGGAACTCGACATCTGCTCTAACTTTGGCTTTGGCCCACTCAGCAGCGGAAGAGCAGCAGCAGCAGCAGAGTTCAAAGCTTGCTGGCCTGGCTGTTGGCTCATAAAAGTCAAGAAACTTGTTGATTAGATAAGGCGAAAGCAAACAGACACACACTAATGCAATGGCCACATTGGGAGCACCAATGTTGAGCCACTTTCTCAGGCGGGTCTTCGTCATCATTCCCACTGTACAGCAGCACACATACAACCATATGCACATACATATGCATGTGTGAGTGCATGCTTCTAGTGGAAGGCTATGCGTCAGCGGGTTAGTGCCTCTCGCTCACTCCCTAGTCCCAAGTGCAGTTGCAACTGGGACAAGCAAACCGTACTCTCAGCTCAACTGCATTGTTCTCTCTTTCTCTCCTCTCTCTCTCTTTCTCTCTTTTATACTCTCCATTCTGTGGTTTCGTATGTAAATTTTCGATTATGAAACAGCATAAAAAATGTCTGCATTTGACAGCAGTAGACAACAATATGAGAAGGGGGTGGGGTGGGTGGGGAGGGGTAGGGTAAGGGTTAGTGGCGGGGGCACACTTTCACCAGGCGGTGTGTCAGCTGTGTGGCCCGTTTATTTATTTTTCGACCAAAAAAACCAAAACAACAAACTAAAAGAAAGAGTAAAGGAAAAAGAAACGAAAAGGCAAAGCAATTAAATAAACCAAATCCGTGTTTAAGAGCAGCCACATGCATATGTACATATGTATATCTATGTGTAAATGTGAGTGGGAGGGAGCACTCCCCAGCACTCCCATTGCCGGTCATACTTTTGTACATTTGTGTTTCTACACATACAAATTTCAAATGCAAAATGTTTACCATACCGTTCCCAGAAGTTTCTCTCCTTCCCTCCCCTTCACTCTTCCTCTCTTATAACATTAAAGGGAAATGTGAATCGCATTTAATTCAAACAAAGTCATAGGCTTTGAGCAGGAGGGTAGTGGGAGTGGGAGGAGGGAGGTGGGATGACCCGACGACAATTATTGCGCAGTTCGTTTCACTCACACACACACTTCTGTATGCTGCTTGCACACTCACAAACACACACACACGCAAACACTCTTGGAAGGTGTCGTTGTTGCTATTGTAAATGCCGTTTCTCTGTGTTTGCCTTTCCTTTGTTTTGTCTATCCCCCCCACCCACTCCCCTTTTGTGTTTGTTTTGGGCTCTCGCCTTGAAATAGAGATTTTTCAAATCTATTAATAATTCAAAGGCGCAAACCCCAAAGCGACAAACGATTCGATATGACTCTCGCCGCCCCAGCCAAAGCAGCAGCAGCTGTGAATGCAATTCAAATGCGGAAACATGTGCGAACTGGGGTCGGGGTGCTGGGATGGGGCCTGTGCTCCAGTTTAGCCAAGAGGCGCCAGTCGTCCCTCTCAGCTGGAGAGAGGAGCTCGAGCTGGCCACTGGGGCAGATGCTGGGGCCAATTAAGAGTGCGGCTATCCCCAAGAGAGCCCAAGAGGATGAGCGTGCGAGTGAGTGGTGAGCTGTGAGAGGAATGGGAATGTAGAACGACCAACGAGCAGAAGGAGGCGCCCACACAGAGATTTATGGTTTCTTTTTGCTCAGCAGCTACCCTACCAATTGGGCGGCGGAGCATGCTGCGTTCATCGATTGGTTCAGTCATGCATCATCGTAAACAGGGTATCCTCCCTGCAGAGCAGTCATAATCCGAATCCTGCCTAGCCCACGCGGCTTTGTCCAAGAATTCTCTTTGAATACTCATAGGCTGCTTGCTGAATGGTCACGGGTCCGAGGCCCCTTTGCATATTTCATTTTTCAGCCATGGCCATTTGCTCGGCCAAAGGGGCTCAAGGCTCTTTGGGCAATTTGCAGCTCTGGCTCTCAGGCGATGGATGGCATTATTAAAATATTCATAGAGGCAGAGAGAGAGCCATAGAGTCCTAGCCGGTACCCCCCTTCAACCTCCGGGAGGGAGGCGCTGCCAAGTTTAATTTATTTTGTGCGACAAACACGAATGACAAGTGTCCGCGAATGCCAGGCGATGGCGTCTCTGCGCCAAAAGAGTCACTCACACATGGACAGAAGTTCCATTTATAACCAGGGGGAGAGGGGAATGAGAACTGGAATCTGAATGCGTGGGATTTTCCCTCCATTCGGTCCCAGTTCTAATTGAGTAACACCAGATGGGTCCACGGACTAGCAGGAAAGGGGCGTCGAAAAGTGCAACGTCTGCGGGAAAAGCTGCTTTTCAACGAAACTTTTCAATTAAAATACTCCACAGCTCTACAGCTGGACAACATTCAGAGTAGGTCAGCGTTTTTGTCGGCAAGCCGCAAAAAGTTCTCCTCGTCTCTCTCTGCTCTATATGCTCTCTGCCGATGAGAGAGTGTTTGTGGTTGTTGTTTTTGCTTTTTCTTTTGCTTTTGAAGCTGGAAGTTAAAGCACTGATATTCATGGTCTCAGCGATAGAGTATAGAGAAGGGAAAGGGTACATATGTAGTGCAAAATATCCGTTCTCTCTCTCTCTGTCTTTATGGGAGATTAGTTAGCTCCGCCTCGCTTCGTCTAGCTGGTGTTTGCTTATCGCACGACCTTGGAATGTAATTTGCCTGCAAGTTCTTGACCGTGGGACTCGACTCTGACTCGACTCGACTCTCCTCTGACCGCTGAGTACAAATGTACGTGCCGGACGGGACTTTTGTGAGCTGAGCCTTGGATCACTTAGAGAGTGTTTGTCTAGTCGAGGCCATTTGATCGAGTGAAGGAGAAACAAAATCAAAGCTGGAAGCAATTTTCATCTATTTACACACACGCTCACACATCTGTCATGACTTTGGAGGAGCTCAATTCTCATGCTCAGGCTTTTGTTGTCTCGCTCTGGGGTCCCGGTGGAGATGGAATACATATGTACAATGTACATCCATATGTGATATGTGAGAGAGGGAGATGGACAGGGCGGCGGCATTGCCTTGTGTGTCACTTGGGCTGCGGTTTGAAATTGAAACCTGGAGGTATTTTTAGCTCTGGATGTCTCTTTCGCTCTTTGTGTGTGTAATTTGTAATCGGATTCGTTCCGGAGAGAAAGATTGACTTTCATTGTGATATAGGGGACACCACCACCCACCCAGCTCCCCCAGGCAGCCTGTTCCTGCTGATTCATCGATACCAGGCGGAAGAACCGCTGCTGGAGGTCGCAGAGGCCCATGCCAATCAGCTCCATCTGATACGGAGCGTGCTTTGTGGCGTTTTTCTTCTCCCCTTGTTCCGTGACGAATAAAGAGCGCTTCAGCCTTCAGTCTCCAGATTCCAGATTCCAGACAAAGCCTGTCTGCCAACTGTTGTTTAATTGGCCATTTAGCGAAGCTCAATTAGTGGAC